CAGACAAAACTAAGGGCTGGACATGGTGGCTTACGCCTGTAATCCCAGCACTTTCGGAGGCTGAGGTGGGCGGATCACGAGGTCAGGAGATCGAGACCATCCTGGCCAACATGGTGAAACCCCACCTTTACCAAAAATACAATAAATTAGCGAGGCATGGTGGCACATGCCTGTAATCCCAGTTATTCAGGAGGCTGAGGCAGGAGAATCACTTGAACGCGGGAGGCAGAGGTTGCAGTGAGCTGAGATCACACCACTGTACTCCAGCCTGGGCAACAAAGCAAGACTCTGTCTCAAAAAAAAAAAATAGGCAAAACTATTCCTTTATAATAGATAAATGTATTTCATATATATATATACACACATATATATACACATATATATATACACATATATATACACATATATATGTATATATACACATATATATACATATATATATACACATGTATATATATATATGTATATATATGTGTATATATACATATATATATATATGGTTCATGAAAGAAGAAACTCAAATGACCTGTAATTATATTAAATATTGTTCATCTTCAATTTAGAAAACCATTAACATTTTTGCTTACCAATTAGCAAAGATTTTAAAATTTTTTGGTGAAATGGACATTTTTATTTTGTGGTACATATTTGAAAATGCCCAGCAGATGGGAGAACAGATCAGTTATTACCTTTAAAACTATTTTTTAGGCCCAGGAACAGTGGCTCATCCTGTAATCCTAGTATCTTTGGGAGACCAAGGCAGAAGGATTGCTTAAATCCAGGAGTGCAAGACCAGCTTGGGTGACATGGTAAAGCCCATCTCTACTGAAAATACAAAAATTAGTCTAGAATGGTGGCCTGAACCTGTAGTCCCAGCTATGTGGAAGGCTGAGGCAGGAGAACCACTGGAACCTGGGAAGTAGAGGTTGCAGTGGGCTGAGGTCATTGCCACTGCATTCCAGGCTGGGTGACAGAGCAAGACTCTGTCTTAGAAACAAAAAAAACCACTATTACAAAAAAACAATTTAGCAACCAGTATTTTGACCTTCAAAATACTTGACTTGGCTGTTCTATTCTGTAATCTGTCCGAAAGAAACAAGAAATCCAGGCAGGGCACGGTGGCTCATGTCTGTAATCATAACATTTTGGGAGGCTGAGGTGGGTGGATCACTTGAGCCTAGGAGCTCAAGACCATCCTGGGCAGTACGGATAAACCCTGTGTCTGCAAAAAATAAAAAAATTAGCTGGGTGTGGTGGGGTGTGCCTGTGGGATATGAGGATCACCTGAGCCTGCGGAGGTCAAGGTTGCAGTGAGCAGTGATTGTGCCTGTGTATTCCAGCCTGGGCAACAGAGTGAAACAACCTCTCAAAAAAGAAAAAAAAAAATCCCCAAAAAGACCAATGAAAAGAAGATGATCAAATTGTGATATGTCTATATATGATTTTCTGCAGTCATTCAAAATGATTTTCAATAATCTGGGGGATATGCCCAATATATATTAACTAAACAAACAAAAACCCACCCAGAATATGAAACCATTATACAGTGTGTGATTGCAGTCATATGCAAAGGACTGGCAAGAGATACTCTTTTTTTATTTTTATTTTTTGAGATGGAGTCTGACTCTGTCTCCCAGGGTGGAGTACAGTGGCGTGATCTTGGCTCACTGCAACCTCCGCCTCCCAGATTCAAGCAATTCTCCTGCCTCAGCCTCCTGAGTAGCTGGGACTGCAGGTGCCTGCCACCATGCCTGACTAATTTTTGTATTTTTAGTAGAGATGAGGTTTCACCATATTGGCCAGGCTGGTCTCAAACTCCCGACCTCAAGTGATCCACCCACCTCGGCGTCCTAAAGTGCTGGGATTCCAGGAGTGAGCCACTGTGCCTGGCTGGTTTCTTTTTCATAAGGGGAGAATTATTTTGTCTTAACTAATTGGAAGTGAAAACCTCAGATGTTTCTTTCTTTACTGGACCCAGTGGCTTTTTTTTGGAGATGGAGTTTTGCTCTTGTTTTCCAGGCTGGAGTGCAATGACATGATCTTGGCTCACTGCAACCTCCACCTCCCAGGTTCAAGCGATTCTCCTCCCTCAACTTCTTGAGTAATTGGGATGACAGGTGTGTGCCACCACACCCAGCTGATTTTGTATTTTTAGTAGAGATGGAGTTTCTCCATGTTGGTCAGGCTGGTCTCGAACTCCCGACCTCAGGTGATCTGCCCACCTTGGCGTCCCAAAATGCTGGGATTATAGGCATCAGCCACCACGCCTGGCCCCCAGTGGAAAATTTATCAGGATATTTTGTAGAGCAGTCTGCCTTTTAATATGCCACTTTACTTAGTTTATTTACTCCACTAAAATACACCTGACTTCTCACCTGGAACATTCTCCAGCATTATTTGTCGGTCCCAGAGAACATTAGTAAAAAAAGTAGATGAGGGATTACTTAATGGTGAAAGAATTTCCGGGAGGGGAAGCAGTTGGGGGAAGGGTGAAGGAATTGAAACTACTAGGGAAAGTAGCCTGTGATGAAGCCCAAGTGAGGTGTGAAGTAAGCTGATGAACTGTAAAGATTGTCGGGAGAGTTAAAGGTTATGATGAGACTGAATAAAAGGTATTGTAGGAGGCAGGTAGAATGAATAGGAAGTTGTAGTTAGAGGGATTTTGGAGTTCAAGATCTAGGAAGAGGAACAAATGTAAGTATCAAGGAAATTTAAGGAGTAGTACTACATAGGTTTTCAGATAACTACATTGAAAAATTGAGATCAAAATGTTAGAATGATGCACAGCATGGATGTTAAAATCACTCAAATTTTAATTCCTAGCAACTAATCATAGCATTTTTGGAATCTGCTGTACCTTTATCATAGTAGGTTTATCTCATGCTCTGAATGTTCCCCTTCCCTCACATTTCCCTAAAACTTGTCTAGCACTAGATGTGCAATTTAGTATGAATTTTCTAGCTTAACAACTTTTAGGAATCTTATAGTCAAGATAATACATTTTAGGGTACACTCTTTGGTCACATAACTCATCAGTAGCAGAGTCAGAGCTAGAAACCTTACTTTCCCATTTTTGGTTTATTCTAGTTGTCATCTGTTACTTAAAAAGCAGCAAGAACTCTTCTTTCAAACTAATTAGGAACCTCTTAAAATATCATGGAGAGGCAATATGCAGTCTTAAAATGGTTTTGGAAGCCTAAGTGAAGCAGTGTCAAAACTGTCTATTTTCAGACCATATTCTGCAGGTAGTCAACACTAATCAGGTACTGAGTGTAAATTACTGAGGTGTTCCATCTATTAAAAACAAGCATTTAGGGAACCCTCAAAATAGTGCTTGTCATACCTTACTGTCCACATATATAATCTGGGGATCTTGTTAAAATGCTAGCTCTGATATAGTAGGTCTAGAATACTTCTGAAGATTGTGCATTTCTGACAAGCTCCTCGATAGTGCTTGTCCTTTTGGTTTAAAGACCACACTTTGAATAGAAGGGCCCTAAAGGATTTCTGTGGTACATAGTTTGAAAATGTCTTTTAAAATATGAAGATGGGCACAGTGGCTCATGCCTATAATCGCAGCACTTTGGAAGACTGAGAAGGGTGGATTGCTTAGGTCAGGAGTTCAAGACCAGCCTGGGCAACATGGTGAAAACCCATCTCTACAAAATGTGCAAAAGAATTAGCTGGCCGCTGTGGTGGGGGCTTGTAGTCCTACCTACTCAGGAGGCTGAGGCATGAGAACTGCTAGAACGTGGGAGGCAGAAGTTGCAGTGAGCTGAGATCATACCACTGCACTCCAGCCTGGGCGATGGAGTGAGACTCTGTCTCAAAAAAAAAAAGATGGCTATGTGAGGAGAGAGAGATGTTAATTAGTTTGACTGTAGTAAGTTTTTTCACTATGTATGTGAAAATATGCTATACAGTTTTTATTAAAAAGAAATCATTGCCTTCGGGCAACCCTTCAGTCAATCTCTAGATGAACTTAAGGGGTTATGTAGGCTTCTACCCAAAGGCTCTTTATGTATTTGATAAGGCTGACCAAAAATTATAAAGCTTTTTTTGAGCTCCTAAAATCTTAGAAGCTTTCATCCTCTTGCTGTTTTTTCTTAAATTCAAAGGGCATTTATTATTTTTCTCTCACTCCTGTGCTTAAGTAATCTTCCCACCTTATTCTCCCAAAGTGCTGCACTTGCAAGCGTGAGCTACAGCACTCAGCATCTGTTAGCTGAATCTGTTAGATTTTATTTTGTTCAGGCCTATTCTGAAATTCCTAGTAGTATGGATTAGTACTGTGTAGTGATTTGGAGGTAGTACATACAATAACCTTAACTGAGACATCTGCAGATTGGCTACTTATGTCCTTGTTTCTAATCCATGACTAGAACCTCTCTGGGAGGAAAAAGAATCAACTATATTTAGCCAACAGTAGCAGTAGCTTTCAGTCCGATATTTCCTGTTAGTGTTCTTCCTTCCTTTCTGTCCCTCCAGTTGATGTTACTGCTTTGAGTGGGGATATCAGGGCCTAGTCCCTGGGAAATACACGCACTTTGTTCTCTAGTGTGGGAGAATCAGCCCTGCCTCAGACTTGAATATTAATAGCCAATGGAAACCAAGAAACAATAATGGTGAAGTTATCTGTGCTTGTGATAAAGTAGTGCCCTTTAAAAGGATTTTGAGAACTTGACTTTATTCCTGTTTATATAGGGCTTCCTGAAGGCTTATTTGAAATATGAACCAGCATATCTAATAGTTCTCAACGGCTGCAAGTGTTTCTATGCCCTTGGACAACCCTTCACTCTATCTCTAGGTGAACTTTGAGGGTTATGTAAGATTCTACCCAAAGGCTCTTTATGTGTTTAATAAGGCTGACCAAAATTTAAAAAGCTTTTTTTAAACTCCTAAAATCTTAGAAGTTTTCATTCTCTTGCTGTTTTTTTCTTAAATTCAAAGAGTATTTATTATTTTTCTCTCCCCCTTCCTTTTCCTGTCATCTTACCCAGAGTGAGCACAAATGGATCAGATGACCCTGAAGATGCAGGATCTGGTGAAAATAGGAGAGCCAGTGGGAATAATTCTCCATCACTCTCAAATGGCGGTTTTAAACCTTCTAGGCCTCCAAGACCTTCACGACCACCACCACCCACCCCACGTAGACCAGGTTTGTATTCCAGCTGTCAGTACTCTAATAAATAATGTTCTGGTTGGCAATTCATCCTTAGGTAAGTTTCAGGAAATTCTTTTAGGTGAGTTTTCTGTGTGTATTTTTGCATTTAAGATTTTGGCAAAGAATGATCTTTCTGTAGGTAACCAAAAGTGCCTTTTTCCTAAGTTTCAGTTCAGAGTGACGTTACTGAGGCAGTGCTCTATTGAGAATGAAAATGACATGTGCATAATATAAAATATAGGCAATACAGATAACATTGCAATAACATTTCTTACATGGTTTGTAACTATAACATAAACGTATTAAGTAGTCAAGGATTTGGTTG